CGTGCACATACCAGATATACAACTGCTGAAAAAGATCAAAATATGCCTGCAAAATGCATAAAAATGGAGGGAAAAGGACCAAAAACAAACTTCATACAGATGAAAAGCTGCTACAAAAGGATGTGCACTCACAGAAGAGGACACACAAAATGAACTCAAAAGATGAAATGATAATTTAAGGATGCAAAATATGAAATGCTAAAAGAGATGTACAATAATCACTCGTGCAAATTGAAGCCCGGGGGATGCAAAATGTCTGAAAAGGGATGCAAACAGAGTGCAGCAAGCAACAAAAAGCACCAACACAGAAATGGAAAACAACCATACGCACAAAAAGACACAAAGAGGATGTAAAACAGAAAAACAAAGAAAATGAAATCAACTGTGAGGAGGCCAAAAGAATCAGAGAAAGTGCAAAATAAAGGATACAAATAATAAATAACAATAATAATAACTTCATTTATAAAGCGTACAGCTATTTGAAACTAAAAAGATAAATAAATAAAAGCAATACAAGTAAAAAACAGTAAGAATTTAAAAACTAGAAGGCATAGAATTGAATCCCTACACACAAACACACACATGCAAGGACACACAAATGGTTATTTGAGGATGGAAGACGATCAAAAAGAGACAGAAAGAAGCAACAAACATTCAGACTGAAGGATGAAGCAAAACCACTGTGAGGACGACGGGAAGGAGTGGCCGTCACAGATCCACTCAGCCCACAGCTGTGGGACAAAATGTTACACAGGCATGCAAAAAAAATCTGACGCAAACAGATAAAAGTTAACTTTATGAATCGATGTGAGAAATAATCAGCTGCAGTTTATCTCTGCAGCGAGGCGGCGAGCAGCTGCTGACAGGCAGCGGGCTGTTTTTAGCCTCTGAAGGACACACACCCACGCACGGACACACACACACGCCGACACACACACACGTCTTATCTCTGCTTTCTCAGCTCATCTACTGTTACTGTCGCTGCTGTCAGAGAAAGTCCAGAGCCTCAGTTCTAACTCTTTCTTGTCCAGAGAGGAGACGAGCGACCATAAAGAGAAGGAGACCCGCCTCCTCTGATGTCATCTCACTTCGGACACACCTAACGTGTATCTGTGTGTGTGTCCGTGCGTGTGTGTGTGTGTATGTAGGTCAGCTCCCAGTGAAACTAGGCCACTCTGCCGCCTGGACAGGCCTCACATTGTTGCAGCTCGGCCGTGACGAGAAAAGCTGAAAGCAGCAAACAAACGTTTGGATGAGAGAGGCCGACAGCTCCTACAGCCAGATCATCAGGGTGATGTCGCAGTGAAATATGTAGAAAAAGCTCCTTCAGGCACTGCTGGGACTTGAACCCAGCAGGTCAGAGCACCTGTTTACATGCAGGTGCTCTGACCTGCTGACCTACAGCACCTCCTCCTTCCTGCTTTTGCTGAAGATTTCCTTCCGTTCCTTCTTACAGCTGCTTCCCTCAAGTCTCTGTAGAGCACATCATCTCCTAACCCAGCATCCTCCTCCATCACTACATCCATTAACCTCCTCCAGGTTCATGGATGTTCATCTCTAATTTTCTTAAGCTCAATGAGGATCAAACTGAAATCCTTTTTATTGGCACTAAATCCAACCTAGTGAAGGCAAACCATTTCTCACTAACTCCACAGTTTTCCCCTCACCTCAGAGCCTTGATGTCATCACAGTTCACTCTCCCATCAGTAATCTCAGCTGTTCTGCCTGTTTCCATCTACGCAACATTAACACGTCCTTCTCTTTCCACCCAGTCTGCGTCCATTCTTGTCCACGGTCTCGTTACCTCCCGCCTTGACTGTTGTAATTCTCTCTTGCATGGTCTCCCCCAAAAATCCCTCCATCAGCTTCAACTGGTTCAAAACTCTGCTGGCCCCATTATTACCAGAACCCCTCCTACCAGCACAGACCACCCGAAAGCTCTGCTCCCAGGCTGTGGAAGTTTCCACCCCCACATATAAGAAACACTGGTTCTCTCCCCCAGATTAAATCTCACCTCATGTTGAGAGCAGCCCTTCCATCAGCCTCTTTTATTAAAGTCTGATAATGAAGAGCATCTAAGTATAAATGAATGATTCCAGCTTTGGTGAGAAAACTGAACAGCCATTGATGACCTGTGATGGATGTTGAACCATATGATCACCTAGTTATAATAACATTGTTTAACCTGGTTAAAGAAGCAGCAAATATGTTAGCTTTAGCTTCTCATAGCAGGTGCTGTAGCTTAACAGGTTAATGTGCTTGCCTTGTAAACAGGAGAGCCTGGATTCAAATCACAGCCGTGCATCCATGTGCTTCATGCCATTTAACTCCATCTGTGGTTTTCCTTTGACTCAGAGCAGCAAATCAGCCAAGTTTGGCATCGTATTCCTGAATCACCGAGGACTAAACAGCTGACAGTCGTCCTGCTGCTTGTGTTTATTGACCCATCTTCCATTTCTCTGTCCCGCCTTGATTGTCTGAACCGATTAAATCAGCAGGTTCAGTGAAGTCAGATAAGTTAAACTTTAATTTCATTTATATGAAAACACTGCTGGGATTTGAACCCAGGATCTCCTATTTACAAGGCAGATGCTTTGACCAGCTAAGCTACAGCACCTCAGCCAGACCCCCGATTATCCCCTGATTGGGCCGCTGGTCTTTTTAGACAAGGTTCCTCCCTTGAATCAGTTAAGATGGTGTGTGTGTGAAAACACTGAGATTAGACTAGTCTGAGCTTCTGCAGGCTTCTGAGGTTCGGGAGGGCAGAGCGAGCCGTAACGATGTCGAGCTTGTCATCTTCCCAGGACTCTGCCGTCCCAGCCCTGCACTGCTCAGAGACAAAGCAGCGAAGCTCGTCTGAGGGCAGATGTGCTCTCAGTAATGGTACACTGCATGGAGAGAAGATAATGATGGTAACCATGTATTTGTGCACCAACCACGCCATCCTTTTGGACAAAGATTGGATCAGAGCTGCAGGATGAAGCAGGGTGCTGGGTCACATCCAACAAGCTGATGGAGGATCCCCCAGCCACCTCTCACACTTCATATTCCTCCATTGATTTTTCCATCCTCCTGCTCTGTATTTGATTAATAAACTCCGGTGATACCACAGCGAGCTCAGTCCCTGTGCTCAGTAACTACTGGAGGCTCTCACCTCATCACCAGTAAGAGGTTTAAAGGGGAGCTGGAACATAAATCCTGCCATGTGGGTATAGCTGCAAGGTTGCAAAATGCCCCTGATCCGCTCCACCCTGATGTTTGACAAACAGGCGTAGCGTCTCGGTGAGACGCCCTGGGTGACGGACCGTTTTGGGACCATCTCATATTCTCTCTCTTACTCAAATAATATCATATAGAAATAATTAATAATATCAGTAGCATCATTTCAGCACCATGGACAGCAACAGCAGCCAGAGGTCATCCATGCTGGTCTGGAGAGCCTGAACCGACGGCAGCTGGACTTCTTCTGTCCGTGAGATGTTCACATTTAGAAACTCTTCACTTCTAAAACAGGTGAAAACCCCCCAGAGGGGGCCGTCCCCAGAGGGGGCAGTCCCCCTTGGAGGCGCTCCTAAAAATCGTTGAGCCACTGTTGATGATGTGAGACATCACATGATCAGGGCACCATCGTGAGCTCCTCTTCAACCAGGCATGGAGCACAGACAAGAGGCCCGATTGGACAGCTTCCACATATCACAGTGTGAGATACAGGAAAGGATCACATACATGAGGCGCTGTGGCTCAGCTGGTTAAAGCACCTGTTTAGTAAGCAGGAGATCCTGGGTTCTAATACCTGCAGTGCCTGTTTGGCGTCTCACACAGCAGCTGTGTTTTTGTAGCGTTTCCTTTCAGCAGGAATCCAAAGTCTCACTTTCTAATAAATTATGATTTTACACTTGGTCTCGACTTGCAGTCAGCATTTTATAAACACGCTCAGAATGCTAGCTTATCGTACACATCTATCAAAAAATGGTAAAAGGCTGTTGTTTTGTAGCAACCTTCCTCTGAATGCGTGCATCCCTGCAGTCACCAGGAGGACCACATACAGCCTCCCGCATGATGTCAATTGTTAGGGTCACATGAAGTCCAATGGATCTTAGGCCTGATTAAAGGGGGAAGTAATAAAGGTGTACTAAAAGGCACTGCTGGGATTTGAACCCAGGATCTCCTGTTTACGAAACAGGCGCTTTGACCAGCTAAGCCACAGCGCCTTGGGACTGAGGTTTGGGGTTTCTCTGTATTATTGCTAACTTACAATCTAAAGCACCTCGAGGTAACTGCTGCTGTGATTTGGAGATAAAAATAAAATTGAATTGAAATGTATTAAAGATCCAGAACCCCAAAGTGTCCAGGAACAGTGTCACTGTTAGCGTCTTCTTCTGTTCCCAGACTGAATTTAAAGTCAAGCCTAAACCGCCCCCACCAAATAAAGCCATGCTGATGCAGTGTTAACAACAGGAGGGCACTTTCTGTTGGTGTGTAGAGCAACCTGAAACTTCTCTGGGATGAAATTTCAACACAAAAATACAAAAATGCGACTTGGTGTCCTCAATGGTGGCTGTCCCACAGTGTGGTTCCAAGCAGATGCCAAAGTGCTCTTACATAAAGAACTGATGACGTCACTGTGGGGCTTCATGTGGATGGTTCAAAATGCCAAATCCTGGTGATGAGGAGTGATTTGCTTCTGTCTTTAAAACCTCACAGCTAACTCATGAGAGCAGGAACGTCTGTTTTTCTGTCTAACATCGAAACGTCTTCCAGCTCTGTGAAAAGCTCCTCTCGTGTTTTCCTCTGAGAAACTGAAGCGTGAAAGTTGAGGCCTCACCCTGCTGACGCGCTGTTTCTGTAACGTGTCCAGATTAGGTTGTGCAGACGTTTTAAAGCTGATTAAATCTTTTCCCATTTCATGGATTGTTTCGTGGAAAACCATTTCAGGATGAACGAGTGCGCGCTGACCTGTGAAAGGTGACTCACACGTGGTCGTCTCTGTGTTTGGACAGATCTCTCCAGGCAGCAAGGCGGCGCAGGGCAACCTGATGCAGGGTGATGTCATCGTCGCCATCGATGGCGTCAGCACCGAGGGGATGACTCACCTGGAGGCCCAGAACAAAATCAAGATGGCAAACTACAACCTGGCACTCACCATGTCCAAGTAAGAACCGACTCCTCCCTGCTCACACTTCCTGTCTGTAACAGCTTCCTGTTTGTCCTCCTGCTGTCTGGAGCTCAGATGTTGATGTGAAAACGTAAACCTTTTAGGCCCCACACAGGTGACAGTTACACCTGCCAGTCTCTGAGGTCTCATTGATTGGTAATAACTCGTCTGGGGCGTCAGAAGATCTGAAGGTGTCTGACGGTTTTTATGATTCTGTGTTTTTTGCATTCGTTATTCACTCTGCAGAAAAACTGGTCAGATATCATAAACAAAAAGTCCTGTTGGGTTTAAAGTGGACAGGTTCTGCTCATCTGCACCTCCATATTTTATCCTCACAATCTCCTGCGACAGCTTTGCATGATTCACAGTTCAAAATAATCCTTCTTTGTGTGATATTAAGCCTCCGTGCACCGCCTCAGCTCATCCTCTGTCTGAAATGTAGTTTGTGAAGTTTCTTTTCGTTCTTTTCGTTCTTTTAGTTCTTCAGGTTTTCCGGGTTAGATGTTTTGATCCTGTTGTCCTGTGTGTGATGTTGGATTGAAGCGCACGGCCACTGCCTGGAATGAAGGTTGTGGATTTTGGGATTTCCCTCAGTCTGCTGCATCCTTTGCGCTCGGATCATTTCCTCCTTTCAGCCATTACGTTTACGTCTCTTTGTGCCATGAAGACGTCTGACAGCTGAGAGGGGAAATGAATGTTGGTCCACAAAGCGCTCCCTGCGGTCTCTCATAACCACGAAGCCTCGGGGTGATGAAGATAAGACGCTCAGCTCAGGATGAAGAGACGCCGTTTTTCTTTCCTATTGTTGTTTTAAATGTTTTGCTGGTGTGAAGTCAAGCTTGTGATGAAGCGGTGGAAACAGGCCAGGAAATCATTGTTAACCCCCGCTCACCCTCGAGCTGTATCGACCGATGAGGAGGACCGCTCACAATAAACTGACTTCACTCAAGTTTTCATATCGGGGTCATTTTCCTTTTCCCACCAGAACAAAACGACCGTAACGAACCTGTGAAGAGACAGAGGGTGAGATAAAAACCTCAGAAGACCATGCACTGAAGATAACCACAACCTTATCGTCATCATAACATCCTGTTTGATTCTCTTTTATTCTAATGGGACCGAAAACATCATTTTGCTTCTTTTCTCGACCACAGGAGTCGCCCCCTGCTGCTTTCAGATGGCCCCGCCCCTCCCTGAGCCTGGTTATGGTATCTTCTGTTTAGAAGACAGATGCGTTACCCAGCTACGCCCCACTCCAACAGCACAGACATGGTGCAGAGGTCCAGTTCAAGGACTCCTGTTAGCTAAGGCAAAGCCTAGCAGGCAGCTAGCAGCTAAAGCTGCCAACATGTAGGACAGGGGTGGGCAACTCCAGGCCTCGAGGGCCGGTGTCCTGCAGGTTTTAGATCTCACCCTGGGTCAGCACACCTGAATCACATGACTAGTTCATTACCAGGCCTCTGGAGAACTTCAAGGCAGGTTGAGGGGGTCTCACACCAGTCTTCGAGGCCTGGAGTTCCCCACCCCTGATGACTTTTTTTCACCTCCAGGTGTTCCTATAGTGATCCACTGTCAGGTGAAGTCTCTGAATCTTGAATATGAACTGAGAGCTGCTGAACAGGCGACAGTGCTGAGTGGAGTAAAAGAAATTTCCCCTGACGGCGGGTCAGGCTGGAAACAGTGAGGCTGTGGTTGGCCCTGTGGCCTGCAGCAGGAAGCTTCATTACTCTTCAGAGCAGACGTTCTCTTTGTGTTCATTCTCATCGCAGCTCTCAGACCTTGTCTTTCATTTCTTGAGGCGAGCATTTGGAGCCGACTTTTTTTGGTTTTGTGCCCTTACTTTCACCTTTTCTTCCATTTGCTGCAATTTTATCCGACTTAAATTTTGCTGTTTTCTGTCGTCAGTCTGCTTTAACATCTGACCTGCTTTTATTATTTTCTCTGGAGAAATTGAAGCTTTTCCTGCTGCTGATGTTTTTTCTATAATAGCCACAAGTAAAGTGATTTGTAAAAGTCCTGCTCAGACGTTTCATCACACGGTGGTTTCAGTTTGTTTTTGATTATTAAACCTGCTGGATGGACGCTGTCACGCTGCCGCTCTGACAGACTACACTGTTAATCTGTCAGAATGCAGATGATTGATGAAAACCAGACTTTATGGTCGTTTCTACGAGGCACAAATATTCAGAGGAGCGCACGAGAATTAAAACCTTCACGTTTCATTTTCATCTTCTCTCTCTTAGATAAGCTGCCCTCCTTTCATTTCACGATGCGAGCATCAATGCCTCTCTTTCTTTTCTCCGTGCAGGTCGAAGCGTCCGATTCCGATGGCGGCACCGAGAATGGACGCCACGATTCCCGTCGTCCCTCACCAGCAGGTAAATGAACCCATAATGCATCAAAATCATTATTTTATTCTTCAACAGGATGAATTTACTTCACCTTTGTTTTGTCGGCATATCTGGCAGCGTACAATGATTACAGAGAAGTAACAACACTGTAATGCACGCATAGATGTTTCCTCATAGTGAAGTAACTTAGTCATTAATTTATGCATTGGATCATTTTATTCTGTAGTCACATTTATATATTTATATATGTATTTGTGCAGCACTGGTTATTTTTGTCTACATTGAAACAACCCCCCCCC